TTATTTGTTTGCATCTAAATGGAATATTGTTCTAGAAGCTCGTCTGTTAATAGCAGCGTTCTCTGGTTATTGTTTTCGTCAAGGTTGACTTTTGTGTTACTTTACTACGGCTTCTGATTGCTGTAAATGAAATGCATTGAAACATTAAAAAGAAAGTTCTCTCTTCTCTTTGTGTTCCGGTGTCATCCTCTGTTCATTGAATTACCTTCTATCAGCATCACCTACACTTTAGTTTGTTGTATACCTGGATGTTAATGAAGAACTCCGGGCAAATCAAATCTTAAAGGAGAACTATGGGGTCAGGGCTTTTCCCCATAGTTCTCCTTAGGGTAACGGGAGGACACAAACTAGCGTCCTCCCATCACCCTAGGCTCAGTATAACGCAAGCTACAGCTCGCGGTATACTGCGACGCCGCAGCCGGGGGGGATCCCGACATCGATGTCGAGATCTGCCCAGCTGCATGAGTGACAGCTGGCTCTGCCTATCTAGAGGCAGAGCCAGCTGTACCCGCCCCCTCCCCCGTCCGTTCCCGCCAGTCAGCGCTGTCAGATCGGAGCGGGGAGGGGGGAATCCAGCCCCTCCCCTGTCACGGCAGAGAGCTGTGACAGGATCGAGAGGCGAGCGAACCCGGTATGTGTTCGCTCACCTCCCGATCTACTGAGCCGATCTGTGACAGTCTCATTGTCACAGGTCGGCTAGAACTATGAGGTGAGTGAAAAGCACTCACCTCATAGTTCTCCTTTAACCCTTGCAGTGGGGCCAGCACCGCCCTGCAAGGGTTAAGTGATCGTTTTGCCTAGGGAGCTAAAATAACAGATATACCAGAACCGTGATCCCGGCTGGATCCCAGACCGGTCCCTTTCAGCCTCGCCAGCCCTCCACTCCAAGGCCATGTGATTCATCACGTTCTATACAGTGTATAAGGTGTGAGGATGCCGTGGGAGATACCATCACTGGAGAGGAGGAGGAGACAAGATGAGGGGACCGGTCTAAGGTTAAGCTTTTACTGGCCTGGAGTTCTTTAAAGGAGAACTATGAGGTGAGTGCTTTTCACTCACCTCATAGTTCTAGCCGACCTGTGACAAAGGCAGGATTATTTTAAAAGAAATACCCTTGTGGTGGGGCCGCCCCTCCCTGCAAGGGTTATGACTAAACGCCTGTGTGTATGAAACAGGCAGAGGTCTCATTTCATCTCTTGGGCTATGCTTTTATGAAAGACTTCGGACATAGTTGGTCTGCCATCATCCAATGGTCCTGCAAAGGAGCTGGATGAGCACCTTGGCTATAGCAAGCAAGCATGGACTCACCTGGAGTGGCACACTGCTTTTCTTACCTTGTAAGGGTTAATTGCTTGTTAAAGGAGAACTCAATGCAAAGAAGAAAAAAAAACCTACCCTTGCAGCGGGGCTACCCCCTGCACTGCAAAGGGTTAAGTGCTCCTTTTGTCTAGGGAAGTGTAAATAAAGGCGATATACTCACCTGATCCTCGGTCTCGTGGTGGTCCGCACTCGCCTCTCTTCCCTCCTTTTGGCTGCGGAATATCCCTCGGCGTCCTCACGTCTAATGCAAGTCAGTGAACTTGCATAAGACGTGATGAGAGCGGTCCTTAGACGGCTGGAGCCCCGGGGGAGAAGAGGCTGCAGGGACCGGTCTAGCAGTCAGAAGATCAGGTGAGCAAAAGAGCTTTTATAGTGTCCCCTAGACAAAATGAGCCCTTGCAGGGTGGGGGTGGCCCCACTGCACAGGTAAGTTGAGGTGTTTCTTCTTTAATTCTAGGAGTAGAGGATAATCGGTTACCTTATTCCGCGCTATGGCAGGATTCCGCCACTACTCTGCGACTGGCACCCCAAAGCTGCTTCTCTTTGGCACTCTGGCCGGTGGTCACACTCTGATCTCATCCAATACTATGCACGACCAGTAATCCTGCATTGAATGTGAGGGCGGCCATCCACAACCAGGCGGTTCGTAGAGGAGAGCGCCGGAGCCTTCCAGAGAGAGAAATAAGGTATTACAGCTTATTATTCTACCCATAGTCTTCAGCATCAAAGCCCAACTTAACCCAACTGGCCATTTTTTTTTCTTCAAATAGTCCCCCAGCAAGGGTTTAAAAAAAATGCAACTCCAACTGCAAAACTCATCACCTCTCTGGCATTGTCCCCCACAATATTTCCATTCCACCACTAGATGTCCTCAGTCTTTCTGGCTGAATGAAGACTGAGGGCATACTGTGAGTGCAGGGGCATCATGGACCTGCACCCTGGGATGGGGGGGGGTCACCACATCACCTTGTGTTAATATGCACTGCTCTCTCCATCATCGCGGTCCGCTCACCTAGTGAATGAAGATCTGAAGAGAACCTGCGCATCAAGTGACCGGCTTAAAGACATCAGAAAAAGGTCAGCATAAAAAAAAAGAGGCTGCAGGAGATCAAGAGCACTGAGATATAGCAAGGGATGAAAGAAAGGTGAGGAGAAGTATTTTTAATGAATAAAAGGAAATTGTTTATAATACACAAAATATCATTCTGTAAGGTTTAGAGGCCCGGTGATAATTAAGAAGAAGGCTTTCCCGATGGCGGAAGTGCAGAGCGCATTTGTACCCACAGCATTCACTCAGCAAACTGACATACTCGGTACTTCCAGGTATGGGAGGAGCATGTTCTACACTCCCCGACTCCCACGATCCAGCGCTGGGTGCCTGAGCGACCAATCACCAACTGCCAACACTCGCATAGGGTCTAGAGCAGGGGTAGGCGAATCCCGACCTTCTAGCTGTGCGGAAAATACAAATCCCATGAGGCATTGCAAGAGTCTGACAGCCACTGGCATGACTCCCAGAGGCAGATGCGTGACTGGATTTTAAGTTTCACTAAAGCTGGTGGGGGGTGGTTTGGGGGGTACCCATGGTCTAGAGAGTATAGCTCAGGGCAAGGCAACCTTGGCACTCCAGCTGTGCTGAAACTACAAATCTAAGCATGCCTCTGTCTCTGGGAGTTTTGCATTGCCTCATGGGACTTGTAGTTTGACAACATAACCTAACATGAGTCAGTGACAGGATACCCTGCAGCTTTCAGGATTTGCCTACCACCTGAGGAAGAAGAGGAGGGGGGCCCGGGATTTCGCACACCTGGCTTAGGCTTGGTTCACACCTACAAGAAAACACAAAGAGAGGGGCGCCTTTCCTAGTGCAGGTTAGTTTATTCAACAATCATAAAAGAAGACAAGCTGGCAGGTACTCACAAAGGTAGAATAACAACAAGTTGTGAGACAGTAAAAAGCGGAGCACTGGAGGGATCCGTATGATGAGTCCTGTGTGCAGATCAGTGAGGTGTCGACGCGTTTCCGGGGCACGCCCCCTTCATCAGAACCTTCTGATGAAGGGGGGAAGAACCTTCTGATGAAGGGGGGAAGAACGTTCTCATGAAGGGGGGAAGAACGTTCTCATGAAGGAGGGAAGAACGTTCTGATGAAGGGGGGGAAGAACGTTCTCATGAAGGAGGGAAGAACGTTCTGATGAAGGGGGGAAGAACGTTCTGATGAAGGGGGGAAGAACGTTCTGATGAAGGGGGGAAGAACGTTCTGATGAAGGGGGAAGAACGTTCTGATGAAGGGGGAAGAACATTCTGATGAAGGGGGGAAGAACGTTCTGATTAAAAGGGCGTGCCCTGGAAACGCGTCGGCACCTCACTGATCTGCACACAGGACTCATCATACGGATCCCTCCAGTGCTCCGCTTTTTACTGTCTTACAACTTGTTGTTATTCTACCTTTGTGAGTACCTGCCAGCTTGTCTTCTTTTATGATTGTTGAATAAACTAACCTGCACTAGGAAAGGCGCCCCTCTCTTTGTGTTTTCTTGTAGGTGTCTCAGTCACCCTGACTGTATTGGGGCTGCATCCTGCACCTATGCTCAGTATGTTTTCCTTATGAGGGATGACTGCTTCTGGCGCTTCTGGATACTATTTTTTTGTTTGGTTCACACCTAGGTGACACCTCACCGTGCGGCAATCGTGCACCATTCTGCGCGGATTGCCGTGAAGGCAGGAGTCGCCGAGGTGTGAAGCGATCACGCCGTGGGTGCCATTATTTTCTAATGGCATGCCAGTCGTGCTGGGCAGATTGCGCAGTTTCCCGCCGCGATTCCGCGGGTGCTTTCAAACACAATCGTGACTAAAACATACATGTACCTTTTTTCTGCGATTGCCGCACAGATGTCACCCAATTTAAATCAATGGGGCCGCGCGCCAATCGCTGCCTCCATTGTGCAGGACCGCACGATCCCGGGAGGTGTGAACCTAGCCTTAGACTGATGAAAAAAAGATTTATACACACTGAAATAAATAAATAAAAAAGTGAGGGGGTTCAACGAAGGGGAGCACAAAATAGCGGAAGTAGCCTGGAGTTGGGCTTTGGCTATAAATTCATATAATGCTTTCTGGGTCCATTCTGAACTGTGTACATTGAAGCCCAACTCTGCCCCCCAGTTGCCCCCTTCATACCTTAAGGGTCCCCCAGCAATATTGTACCCCTTTATTTACATTTTCTGGGGGCTTATGGCTGGTCACATGACATGCTGGTCTTCTGCTGGCGGGTGCGTAGTTCTGGTTGATGCAGAACCAGAGCTACAAGTCCCGTCTGCCGCATTACTTTCAATTCCAAAACTGACGGTCCGTACCCCACTACGGTCATGGTGCTGGAAGAATAGTCTACAGGAGCCTATGCATTGCACCCACCATCTGCTGATGGCAGTTGAAATGCTTTGCAGGCTCAAATGCAAAAAAATAAAAAATCTTTTTGCAATATTGTACATTTATTATTATTATTTTTTTTAATGGAATATGCCTTTAAAATAAACATGGACTGCAATTCCTTCATTCACACAGCTGCAGTACCACGCCAAGGTCTGCAGGTGGCAGCACCGAGAACACCTACCTTCCTTCGTGATCGATACTTTATGATCGCGGTCACATGACTTCCTCCAGCTCTCCGCCCATCGCATCGCAGCTTGTTGCTAGGTTGGGTGACGTCACCAGGCTTTAGTGACAGCCTCTCGCTGTGGTTATTTTCCGGGACGGAGAAGGAAAGGGGGGACCGAGAAAATCCGCAGTAATCCTCCGTTACCAAGGCACCGGGGAAACCGGGAGCGGCGAGAACAGCCAGCGCACAATCAGACCCGACCACCCAGACCCGTATTGTTGGCCCTGACAGCGGATGGAGGCCGTGAACTGATGGTGAAAAGTGCCCCGGGGTTCAGAGGCGGAGTGCGGGCCTGAGCGCTGCCATGGAGCTGAGGGTCGGGAACAGGTATCGGCTGGGACGAAAGATCGGCAGTGGCTCTTTCGGGGACATTTATTTAGGTAAGAAAGCCATTGGCGGAAGTGTGAGGGAAAGGGGGGGCCCTGAGGTGGGGGGCCCCTAAACTCTGGTATGTCTGGTTGGGGACACTGTCTTGTTGGGGGGGTGGTGCTGTGGGCCTCAGGTCAAAGGGACCTTCTGTGTTTTGGAGGAGCAATTCTGGTACTTGTAGTTCAACCACACCCAGGAGGTCCTGTTGTGGCACCGCCATGGATGCTCCTCCATCACCGCGTCTAGATGGGGCTACAAACCAATGGGTGGCAGTTATTGTTCCCCTAAACGCTGGCCGCCTCCTAGACGCTCCTCCTTTATCTAAACGTACACGCTTGGCTCAACCGAGCGTCTATGTGAGTGACAGCCGGCCGATAAGACGTTTCCCCTACCATGGTACCTTTTGGGGTTGACCGCTATTAGAGGTCTGTTGGCATCCAAAGGGGCCTCCCAACTTTTGGGGGAACTGCCTGAAGTTGACGCTTGTCATTCCTCTATGTTGGAAGGACCAACTTAGACGGGAGATGACCGCTCTTCTGGGGTGGGAGCGGTTGGAAGGTTTGAAAAATGGCTGCTGCTGTTCCCTCCTAAGATGGATGGCCAAGGGAACTTTTGGCCGGTCCTTCTCTTTTCATTCAGCTGTACATATTGGGCGAATGGTCGGCGGACAGATTGGCCTCTATACAACTGCATTTGTATGTTTGTGGTCATATTAAATCCCTTTCCAGGCAAAACATAAACCTTCTCCATACCCTCTTGGGGGCGCCCACACCGCTTCTTCTTCCTACCGCCCGTCCACCCTCATCCCAGACTTAGTGGTGTATAACTTGATTCACCAGGTAAGAACACCTTGAAGGATGGGTCAGAGCCGATACCGGCTTTTCGGTATCGAGTGCCGATATTTTTTTCCCGTACTCGCCGATACCGAGTACCGGTGCCTTCTGCCCTGATTATCAGGAAGTTACATAGAATTTGAGGTTGAATAAAGACATTAGTCCAAGTCCAACCTATTAGGATCTCATTCTAGGAGTACCTGTACCCCTGTATATTACGGTCCCTTAAGAAATCGTCCAAAAGTTTCTTGAACAATTCCACATTATTTGCTGAAATCACCGCCTGTGGCAGTGAGTTCCAGACCCTAACTGATCTTACTGTGAAGAACCCCCTTCGCCCCTTGTGCTGGAATTTTTTTTCCATCAATTTTAGGTGGTGGCCTCTAGTTTTTGTAATGGAGTTAATTTTAAACAGTTTATCGCTAATGTTGCTGCCACCATTGAACATTTTGTACATGGAGATCATATCCCCCCTCAATCTCCTCACCTCCAATGTGAACATGTTTAAATTTAGTAGCCTTGTCTCGTAGCTCTGGTCCTCCATACCCCTTGGATGGCGGACCATGATTCCTGATTGCCTGTGATGCCGGTGTTCTAGCGAAAGAACACCGGCTTTAGAGGCTGCCTGGCTTCCTAACCAATCAGGAAGCCAGTCTGCTTAGAAACACGTGAAGCCTGCTTCCTACCCAATCAGTAAGCCGGGCGGCACGTCGTGACCTGCCTCCCGGCTTCCTGATTGCCTAGGAAGTCAGCTGCTTCACTTGTTTCTAGATAGATGACCAATCAAGAAGCCGGGACGCGAGTCATCACGTGCTTCCTGATTGGACAGAAGGCCAGGATGGCTTCCTAACCAATCAGGAATGCGGGTCATTACATGGGGGGGGGGCATATATACTGTATATTGGGGTGTTGCAATTTCCATTTGTTTTATTTTTTGGTGGGGTAAGCAGGGTCAGGTTAAAATGTTGTGTCACGCAGGCACTAGGCCGTCTACTTTAAAATATCCATAGATGACAGCCGTCCGGATTGGGCCAGTGCTTTGGGTACTTTATCATACTGGAGGTTGATGGTCCTGGGGTGGGAACGTCCATAGTCTTTTATGGTCCTGGGGTGGGAACGTCCATAGTCTTTTATGGTCCTGGGGTGGGAACGTCCATAGTCTTTTATGGTCCTCGGGTGGGAACGTCCATAGTCTTCGATGGTCCTCGGGTGGGAACGTCCATAGTCTTCGATGGTCCTCGGGTGGGAACGTCCATAGTCTTCGATGGTCCTCGGGTGGGAACGTCCATAGTCTTCGATGGTGCTCGGGTGGGGACGTCCATAGTCTTCGATGGTGCTCGGGTGGGGACGTCCATAGTCTTCGATGGTGCTCGGGTGGGGACGTCCATAGTCTTCGATGGTCCCAGACCGCTGCCAATGCCGGGATATCTGCTTAGTCTATAGACCAGGGCGTCTGGGCTGTAGAAGTCAGTATGTTGGTGACCTGAAACCTCAGCTGGATCACGCATGATGTTGGATGAGTTTGGTCAGTCAGCAGACATACAATGAGCACCAACACGTCTGTGCGGAATCCAGTTTGTGTGCGAGCTACACGTCCTTCCTTTGCCTCGTCTCCACTTATCTAACAGTAGGCAAAAGGATAAAAATTTGCGGCCTAGCCAATAGCCGTCCGGCCTGACACAGATGACCCGAGGAGATCTCCATGAGCATGTGATGTTTGTCATTCTGTGGTGTCTCCTATCTAAAGGTTTTATGTTGGGAGGTGTCCCCAGCCCGTCCCCCACTGTGGTGTCTCCTGCAGTGATACTGGATAAACAGAGCACTTCCTCTTTCTCGGCTGATGATTGCCGTGTGTGTTTGTTGTGGTTTATGTGACGGCTGTATATAAGATTTGGCATGCAAAGCCGTGTGATGCTGTTTTTTTTAGGAGGAAGTGTCACCTCGTGTGGACCTCCCTCGTTTTATGTGACAGATCTCCTCCTTCTGTTTGGCAATGTATTTAGGGTTTTGGTAATGAGAGGCGCTCAATCTTTCTAATAGTGTAATATGAAATGATAAAGCATTGATGGGGATTGTCCAGTGAGATCTGCCCGCCCTCGTAGATCCGGTGCCCAGATCTGTGGTGATGCTTGCCCAATGCTAACAGAGGCATAGACATGGTCCTTCTATCCTTTGTACTGAAGGAGGGAACGGACCCACTTGTAGAGAGAGAGGGGGAAATGTCACGTTTGGTTGGCATTCCGGAAGGGGTCTGATAAGTGATGGTGAAGATGAGGAGCATTGCTTGCAATGGTGTCATCTGTGGTCAGTCTGAGACGTTTGGTTAGATTTCATACAATCGTTCATACAGAATCTGCTGAGAACAAATAATCCCATCAGACACTTGACGAATGACGCTGGAAGTCTCGTTTGATTTTAACATTGAACATTGGATTTTGGAAATGAATGGAGTCTACCGAACAAAAACAATTTTTTGTTTGTTTGGAAAAAAATGTCCCCCCTCCCCCTTCAAATTTTCTTCCTTTTTTTTGTCACTAAGGTCAAAAACAATTGTGGGTTTGACCCCATTGCCTGTGAGAGAATGGAACAAACACAACTGTTTTTGAATGAAATTCTAACCGTGTGTACTCGGCTTTAGACGGATGGATTTAAAGATTCACAAAGATCCCTTTCAGCGCAGCGCAGCCCGGGTTTTATGGAATGACGGCGACGCAGGGCCAGGATTATGAAATGTCGGGAGCGCAAAGTCGCGTTTATTGATTGGGGATGCAAGGCCAGGTTTATTAACCCCTTCGTGACTGACGACGTACAGTTTACGTCGCCAGCAAACGCAGGGCCAGGTTTAGTAAATGTCACTTGCGCAAGACCAGGTTTAATAAATCCCGTTGACTCAAGGTCAGGCTTATTAAATGACGGCAACACCTGGCCCGGGTTTTATTAAATGGCAGTGACACAAGGCCGTGCTTAATAAATTGCAGCGACTCAGGCCCGGGTTTAGTGCAAGACAGCGACGCAGGCCCAGGTTTAGTGTAAGACGGCGACGCAGGCCCGGGTTTAGTGTACGACGGCGACACAGGCCCGGGTTTAGTGTACGACGGCGACACAGGCCCGGGTTTAGTGTACGATGGCGACGCAGGCCCGGGTTTAGTGCAAGACGGCGACGCAGGCCCGGGTTTAGTGTAAGACGGCGACGCAGGCCCGGGTTTAGTGTAAGACGGCGACGCAGGCCCGGGTTTAGTGCAAGACGGCGACGCAGGCCCGGGTTTAGTGCAAGACGGCGACGCAGGCCCGGGTTTAGTGTAAGGCGGCGACGCAGGCCCGGTAACGTAGTTGCCTATATGGCCAAGTCTGTGCCATAAATGCAGCCGGTTTAATAATCCTTGTTCACATCGAGTGGCAAACGTGTAGTAAATTGACGCGTTCTGCTTTTGGGATTTGGATGGACGTAACGTGCTCAGCTAGTTCTAGTTTTAGGGCTGAACCAAATGGGCATTCTGTGACACCGTGCGTCCAGCAAATCTGTTGGTCATGCAGAAAAATCCGTCTCCTTGGAAGTATCTGTAAAGCGGTGATTTAATTAGTCGCAGCCGGGTCCGGGTTTCACTGGTGCGATTTCTGTCAAATGCGCACCATGTTCTGGCGAGATGCGGTGAAGGTAGTGCGTACCTAGGCAATGCAGCGGGTTCCTTTTAAAAATGGTATGTTCTGCACCCAGGGGGAGTGGATGCTGGAATTATCACAATATAATGGGATGGAACATACAGATGCAAACACAATCATGCCATGAGCTCAGTGCGCTTCAGTGGACATTAAAAATCCATTACTGTATAGGCACAATATATCTGGTAGTGGCCCTTGGGGCCCATCCACACTGTAGGTTAGTGCAAGAAAAAAAAAATGCATGTGCAGCATTTGCGGATTCAAGGTGCTCCACACCGCACACTAAAAGCACTGGCAGATACTGTACATGTGCATTCGGATTCCATTCTAAATTTATGGCACCGGGGTCCTTGGTTCAATACCCAGCTGGTACACTATCTGCATGGAGTTTGCATGTTCTCCCTGTGCTTGTATGGGTTTCCTCCGGGTACTCCGGTTTCCTCCCACTTCAGTCATGCTGGTTGGTTAATCGGCTCCGGTCTAAATTGGCCCTGTATGTGAGATAGGGACCTTTGTAA